AAAAAAAAAAAAAAAAAATACTTTAGATGGTTTTAGTAAATAGGAATATTGTTACCAAGTAATTATTATTATTTTTTTTCATTTCGTAATGAACGAACTACTAGTTATAAAAATTGTACCCCCGTACAGTAAGTTATATTAAAAAATACATGTGTGGAAAATTATTCAGCTACATCAGTTATTCGAATAATTATTATTATAATTCACGGTAATTGTTACAGCATACAGTGGAGCAATGAAAAATGTGTCGCGTTAAAAAGCCAATCAAGTGTAAAGGTAAATACACAATGTTATCGTGAAAATTTAATTTTCTCGCGTTATCGGCAAATCTTATCACGCAAATTAAAAAAAAAAAAAAAAAAACAGAAAAAACACATTCCACTTCCCTTCCAACCCAAATGGCTTGGCGCTGTCTTTAATTTCCGGTGGCAAGAAATCGCGCTCGGAGAAAGTCTGTACCTGTAACTGTTTTTTCGTCGCATCGAAATACATAAAATTCTTCACTTTGTATATGCTTCCATAGGAGAACGAAAAGGCAGCGGCAACGTGGACTGAGCGCAAATCGGCCGAGACGAAGCAGTACGAGCGCGAGATCTACAAGCTGCGCGAGGAGATCGAGAGGAAGCGCTCGGCTCTCGAGGAGCTTCGTCGCGAGGTGAGGAGAATCAATTTGTCCCATATATATACACACCCAAAGCGTCACGATCCAAGGGCATATTTCGCGTAATCATATATTTACGGAAATCGAGCCACGAATCGATAAAGCGAGAAAAAAAAAAAAAAAAAGAAAACAAAATCGGCACCAAAAAAGCCAAAATTATTATCAATAAAATACCGAACCCCCGCATCAGAAGGAAAAAGGAGAGAGGGCTCGCTCGTATGATGTGCAAGTAAGTATCCTCGAGGCTGATGGTATACACAATCAGAACAAACTGCCTGCACTTCCTTTGCACGCAATTTCGTGTAAGTATATGTATGTATGTATGTATGGGTGTATGTGGAAGACAAACCGGAGCTTCATAGGTGACTGTATACCTACTACTGCGAAATGTGAAATATATGCGAGCGAGCCGGCCGTTTGATTAGCCACCGGAACCCCCGTAAAATCAATCCCCTTCGTCCTGCACTCGTTTCACCTCCCCCGCACTAGCTGAACCATGCGATAATCATCATTACTTTTAACGATTGAATGTTTGTGAGAATATGATATAAATGGTGCTTGTGTTATAGAGAATTACGTATTGTAGTGCATGTACGATGTCTTTTACATACGTATATCGAAAAATGATATGAAGGAGATGGTACTGAGAGTTGGACCTTAATATAGGTGCATGAGAATCGATGGCGTGCTGACGCAGGAGGACCGCATGCATAGAGTATAAGGGGTGTATGTATATAAGTAATAGTATTGCCTACCACCTAAACTGCTATTGCTCCTACATATATGTACATAGTATATGTGTGTGCCTCATGAAAATTCATGGGTCGGACGGGGAGAGACCCTATAGCACCTAATAATAGCACAGTCAGTGGTACAGGTACGGCACGGCCGAGGGATGCCAGAGAGCCTCTCTCTCTCTCTCTCTCTGCTCGCTATATATACACTAAGTACCGATGACCCGTTATCGCTTGGCTCTTTGTCTCATCCAATCATCCCGTATCTCCTTTTTGACCCTTTCTTCGTTTACATGCCTATTTCACGGCTGGGTGACTGGAAACCCTGCGCTGCTGCAATGGTACAATATACACGTATGATCCCCTGCCCTTGGTGTCGTTGGGCTTTAATGCGTACCGATTGACAAGGGTCCCTTGAGCATATACATTCGGTTATTCGCTCATTTGCATGAAAGTCATTTACTTTCGACTTTTACCGTATGCACAATTATGTACATTCAATTTTTGCACGCCATCGCTTGCCGACATAAGCACAGCTCACTCGGTGGGTTTGTAGGTTTTATAAATTGACTGATTTGTTTGTTTTTTTTTTTTTTTACTTATTTTTTAACTCAAACCATGACTTTTATCAATTGACAACTGTACTTACGTGTAACAACACAAGTCAATCATTACAAACGAAAAGACCATCGCCTATTTTTCTCTCGCACCTGTTGTTGTACACGTGAGTTGATTGAAATACGTGAGCTCTCCCTCCTGCACCCCGTACACGTCCCTTTGCATGACAAATCCTTGAGCGGTATTATTATTATAACTTGCTAACTGTGACCACGTGTTCAGATGAAAGGAAATTCAAATAAAAGTAGAACACGTTTGACGTTTATTTTTAATAAAATAATGCAACAAAGGACTCTCTGGAAGCGCACCAAGAACCTTTTTGGGAGCTCAAGGAGACCTTGTGCATCTTTTTTGTTTCCATCCTTAACGGAGCATCGGGGTGACGCTGCAAAGTATGAGGGGAAGCAAAATTTTTTTTAAATTGCTTTTCTTGTCCCGAGACGTGTGTATGTAATCATCGATCACGCCCTTTCTGTATTTAATATACATTTGCTATGAAGAAGGAACAATTGAACAACAAAAAAAATAGCCAATGTATTCCGGTTGATGTGCCGTGACGTTGTTGCAGTACTGCAGCAGACGGGACTTCATCGACAGTTGCCTGGCGGAACAAGAGGCAGAGCGCCGCAGAGCCGAGCTCGAGGAGCACCGGCGCTGTCGAGCGATCGAGATACAGGCGTGGTGGCGGGGTGTCATGGTACGCCGGAAACTCGGCCCCTACCGTCCCGAGGAGAAGCGTCGCAAGCGCCCGAAGAAGTAACACCTCTGGGCTTTTTTATTTTTTTTTCCCCAAAGGGCTCGATTTTTTTTTTTTTTTTTTTTTTTTTTTTTTTTTTTTTTTTTTTTTTTTT